AACAAGACATTCAGAGGGACTGAGCGCAAGGACACTTGGGAGCCTGGAGCTGGATCCCACTAGTTTTACATTCAAATTTACTTTTACTTTTCTTACATGCGCTGCCTTAAGGTACTAAAATCACACCTTCTCTTGCTGCCTTGTCACATATTTTCTCTTCACCCACTAAAATCCTTTTTCTAGATTATAAGTGATAAGTCATTTTCTACATACCTGAAAACTTTTTCTGTTAATCATTTTTAAACATTAGCCAGAAATGCCAATGGTGATTGTAGGGAAAAAATATGGTTCATGACATATCATTGTCCTCATAATGATACCTTTTATGACATTTTTATTATCAAGATTGAACTGTATAATGAGCTGAATCTTGATATTTAGACTTTTTGACACTTCAAGAAATATGAGTTGAACATCTCCGCGTTTTTAGAGTCTTCGGCATGGTTGATGACCAAATTATTTAGGATACTGTTTGTTGGCAAATAATGATTTTACCCTGCAATAATTTAAAATAATCTTTTACGGAGAATATTCGGTTGGGCAGAATACCAACTTTCAAAATGTAGAGAATAAAACAATAATGGTTGAGGCAAGAGTTCGATTCTTTTTCTTTAAGACAATAATGCTCCGCAGTAATGCGACGATCTTCCGGCACTCGTTTCCCAATATACAATGACCTTGACTTGTTATAGTAGCACCAAATTACAAGACCTCACTAATGCTTATTATCTCTCTAAAACTGGAGGACTAAATTGCACAAAACTAATATTAGAGACTGAAATGGAAAATATAGAATAATGCAAAAATGAAGGAATATAATTTGTAAGAGAAAAAAATTATAATTGATTTGGAATGAATAAAACCTGAGATATGGAAACATTTATATAGAAATTTAAAAATTGTATCCAAAAGACACAATAGTCGAAAAGTTTGGACAGGTGGTTCAACTGTCAACCACCAGTTTCTAGAAGATGTCACATGTCGCGTACAGAAAATTAGGAGAAATAAATAAATATATTATTTAAAATAATATAATTCAAATGTTATTTTACCAAAAAAAATATACCAATTTGGCCCAAGCCCACGATCCATGATCTTGTCGTGCCAAGCTAGTTGAACGGCGACGTGCGAGCTTTGGCTCAACCTACTAGTTTGAACAAACTGAAGTTTCAAATTTGAACAATATAAAAGTGTTCTATTCTTCTAATTTTTCTATATGGGATTGTCATTTTTCAATTTTTCACCAATTTTTATTCTCAAATTATTTTAAGTTCAAATGGTCATTTTTTTCCTTAATTTCTCATACGTCCTAAATTGATTTTGAGAAAATAAATATATTACATTAATCTACTCATGGGGTAAAACACACTCGATCAAAGAAATCTTTTATCCAACTAATAGAATCCACTCAAATAATTGATCAAACTAACTAATTAAAAAAATTTCGAACACTGTTTTAGTGCTGTAAGTTCTACCTTCGA